CATTAAGTACAGTTAGGAAAAATGATTATGAGTATAGAGAAAAATAAAAGATACACTGTCTTATGTGCTGCAGCAAATTTGGGAGAACTAAAAATTTACACATAAGAAAAAATCTTAAATCAGAATAACAGACTTGTCTTAACTCTGGTAAGAAGACATTTCCTATTTATAAAAGAAAGTTATCCATTATAAGATTGATAAATTTAGTATAAAAAGTAAAGAGAAAATAGATAAATGTGTTAGGTAATATACATAATATTAAATACTTAATAACCCAAATATATATAATACTTGGTCTCCATTGAATAGATAGTGCAAATAGGTTGTTCAAAAAGATAATACTTGGTGTGAATTTGACACTATAATGTTAAATCCTTTATAGATTGTTTCTGAATATTATTATCCCCATATTAGTGGTTATTAGTTTATAGAGGTTAGATAATTATGTCAAGGCCACACAGCCAGTATTTGACAGAGTCTGGTTCAGCTCACCTCTGTCCATTTCTAGAGCCCACCCTCCTAGCCTTATTTTGTGACTTCCTAAGAGCATGTACTCCTGAGATAATGAAAGAAGTAATAATAAACACTTACATAGCACTTCCTGTGTTATGGTCTAAGCAGTTTACATGTACTAACTCATTTAATCCTTATAACAAGATTATGAGATGTCAGTATTAACATCTCAATTTTATAAATGAGGAAACTGAGGCATGGAGAGGTTAAGTCTACACTTTTAGTCCCTGTGCTACACTGATTCTCTGAAATAAAATTTAACTGTAAGATATAACCTTATATCCATTATACTAACAAAAATAAAATGATTGAATATAATGCCAACTAAAAGTCTTTATTGATAAAATGTGTGTATTTTCAAATTACAGTATTTCAGTATGCAGTATTTCAAATTATAATACAGTAGTTCACTCATAAGATTAATATATAATATTTACCAAAACTGTCTTGAGAAATGTGGGTTTTGGGCACCTGGGTGGCTCAGTTGGTTGGGCGACTGCCTTTGGCTCAGGTCATGATCCTGGAGTCCTGGGATCGAGTCCCACATCGGGCTCCCTGCTCAGCAGGGAGTCTGCTTCTCCCTCTGACCCTCCTCCCTCTCATGCTGTCTGTCTCTCATTCTCTCTCTCGCAAATAAATAAAATCTTAAAAAAGAAAAAAGAAATGTGGGTTTTTTTAAAGTTTTAATTTTAATTTTATTGGTGAACATACAGTGTTATATTACTTTCAGGTGTACAACAGAGTGATTCAGCACTCCCATACATCACCCGGTGCTCATCTCGACAAGTGCACTCCTTAATCCCCATCACCTATTTCACTCTTATCCCCACCCACCTCCCCTCAGGTAACCGTCACTTTGTTCTCTATAGTTAAGAGTCAAAACGGGTACAATTTTTATTGTAGCTTACCATTTTTGAAATGCATTCTGCTTACAGGAGACACCAAAATGTATCATAATCTTTAATAAGATTTATTATGTTGGGGCGCCTGGGTGGTTCAGTCGTTAAGGGTCTGCCTTCAGCTCAGGTCATGATCCCAGGGTCCTGGGATTGAGCCCCACATCCGGCTCCCTGCTCAGGGGGAAAACTGCTTCTCCCTCTCCCACTCCCCCTGCTTATGTTCCCTCTCTCCTGTCTCACTCTCTGTCAAATAAATAAATAAAATCTTAAAAAAAAAGATTTGTGCTGTCTAATAATGATAAATGATAAATAATTGACAGACCTGCAATTGGAATAGAGAAGGAAATAAGTTCTTGCAGTGTTGGCATTTTTCTAATCATTCATTTGTTTTTTTCAAATTTATTCCCCACAGTAACTTTAGATGGTGTTGTCATTTTTACAGAAGAGCAAACTGAGGGTCAGGCATTTGTAAGGGACTCAGATCTTTTCTTGACCCTAAATAATCAGGCGTTTAACAGTATCATCATGAGGACAATGGAATGTTATATGTCATTAACAATTTTAAGTATGTAGGTGTGGCCGTCAATGTGAAAACATTTTAATTAATAAAACCTTCAGTATGTACATACTAGTTTGATCTATGTAAAGATAGGAGAACTGAAAGGTAAGAATCTTACCCTGATAGTATTGTTTCAGGGACAAGTTTCTTGTCTAATTAAATATACTCGCTCTCCTTTTTAGTTGTGTACGTCAGAGCTAGTTCTGTTGTCCTGCCCCTCTCAACACTTGGCCCCCAACTTATCCAGATATATATTTTTGTAAATTATGTACTTATACTTCAGGCCTAAAGAAATGTAGGAATTATTGCCATTCTCAAATAACAGGAACAATGTAGGATTAAGAACTTCAGTTTTGCAGTCAGATAACTAAGGATGAGTCTCAGTCTCATCACCAGCTATGTGACATTGGGCAGGTCCCTTCTTTTCTGTGTTTCACCACAATTTTTTTTTTGAAGATTAAGTGAGAATTAATGTGAAGGTTTAGCAAGGAGTGTGGCATTATAGTAAGCGGTAGCTGCTAACATTACCATAAACATTTAGTATTATTTAACTTCTAAGAGTTGGTTTTACTTGAGATCAGAATTGAGATCTGCTACCTTTCTGACATTTCCTTGGGAATCTACAAGAACCTCCCCTTTCCCCTCCCCCAATAAGACCATTTAAGTGTGTGTTAAGCAACTGTGGAATACTAAATAAAAAGTTTGGCCAAAACCAACCATGAAGCTGCAAAAAAAAAAAAAAAAAAAAGAATTGAGATCTGCTAGATCTCATACAAATACATTAGATTTGTATTGCTTCATAATAAACCACCAAACACTTGTTGCTTAAAACAACAACCAGTTTTGGTACAATTAATAACTAAAATTTCTTAAAATATTCTCTTAGAAGTTAAATTGGTATTGATTTTAGAAAATCTTCACTGTTAGGGAAATTAAAATAATGATATAATTTTTTTACTTCTCCCTAAAAGGTAAAGCAACTTAAAAATCACCAAATACCATCTCCCCCTCCACAAATTAATAAAGGACAGTTTGTTAAGTTCACAGATTTGCTGTATCATGTAGCATTTAGCCTGTTTAATCTCAGATGATGTATTAATGAGAAGTGAAGTAATCTGTGCCAAATACAGTAGGTGGCACTGTGATAAAAATGTTTGTTTCTGTGGAGAATTGAGTTTACGATTCATCTATACTCTTCTACTGAGTGTTTGCTAAATAAACATGGGTTTCCAAATAAGGCAAACTTGAACAGAATCTAGCAACTTTGCTTAACCTAAATACACATTTATTTGCAGTGTTTTATTTAATTACAGATATTAAGTACAATAATGGCAGTGTTCTTTGAACTAAAGTCTACCAAAAGTAAGAATAGAATGTACTATAAATTGATTGAGGCACAGATTTTAATTTCTCAAAATTCTTTCATAGATATTTTAATATATATTTATGTATTTCAGTTCTTTCATAGGTATTTCACACAGGTTATCCTCAGCTTCTTATTCTTAATAATTAAGCTTTTAAATTACTTCTTTAGTTTATGTAAGCTAAAACAGCAAAGATGAAATACAACACATCAGCCAGAAGATAGTAAATTTTAATGGGGGTGATTCTGTGTCATATTTTCAGTGTATTTCAAAGTACCTTCGAGCCTTCTTTAAACAGAAATCTCAGAAGAAAAATTAACTCACTAGTTTGAACAGCACAGTTTTTTTTTATTCCTTTCAATAGTATATTGAAAGAGTTTAGGAAACTGGAGTATTCTTGTACAATTAAAAGCACAATGTAAAATTGTAAGAGTACTGATTTGGGTTGTTTGGTGTATTGAAGTGTAACGATACAAGTATCTTAATATTTCATTTGCATTGATTCTGGTTAAATTAGTGCTTCTCAATCCTGGTTTTACAGGCTTCCCAGTCATCTGTGGAACATCTTTAAGAAAGTCCCAGGCAAAGATGTGGAGAAAAGGGACCCCTCATGCACTATTGGTGGGAGTGTAAATTGGTATAGCTGCTATGGAAAACAGGATGGGGTTCTTCCAAAAATTAAAAATAGAACTACCATATGAAAAAAAAGAAAGTTCGAGGGATTCTTTTTTTTAAATATATATACCACATTTTATTTATCCATTCATCCATCAATATATACTTAGGTAACAGATACATGTTTCCATGTCTAGGCTAAGGTAAAACTATTGAAATGAAAATGGAGCCACTATGGAAAACAGTATGGAGTTCAACAAAAATTAAAAATAAAACTATCAGATGATACAACAATTCCACTTTTGGGTATTATCCAAAGGAACCTAAAACACTAACTCAAAAAGCTCCAGGGATTCTGATCTAGTCAGTGCCATCATAACATTGGCCTTGGCAAAACCATGCTGTGTTAATGGCAGATATATCACAAAAGGTAACACTAGAGCACATCTAGTCCTCTGAAGTTGTCTTTGAATGGCTGTTTGATCTTTATTAAGAGACAAAAATCCTCCTTTAAAAGTTTGCATAAAGTTACATTTTGAAGTAGGTAAACACTTAGCAACAAAAAATATCTCAAAAGCTGGGTAAAGATAAAAACACTTTTGGAAGCATATGGTAGTTATCAAACATGAAAAATAAATATTACTATGGTCTTTATATTAAACATCAACTGTTTTCTTGTAATAAAAAAGAAATGGAATTTATTGTTATTTTGGTGTTAAAATGTGAACGAAATTTACCCCATCATAGTGTAATTTCTCTTCTCTCCTCGTTTCAAGCATTTGGGTTCTAACAGATTCTAAATTTAGCCAGTGATCTCTGGTCATTTAATTTTTGTTTCCCTTTTAAATTTAAGGGATGGTTCGTTCTTTCTTTCTTTCTTTCTTTCTTTCTTTTTCTTTCTTCCTTCCTTCCTTCCTTTCCTTCTTTTCCTTCCTTTCATTTCTTTTTCTTTTTCTTTCTTTCTTCCTTTCCTTTCTTTTTCCTTTCCTTTCCTTTTTTCTTTCTAGCTGTTACTGATAATGGCAGTTGATTTAATGTACTGTTTTTCAGCTGACTACCTGGCTCAGGCATTTGATTCTCTCTGTTTGGACTTGAAGACAGATGAAGGAAAAGTCTTGTTTTTGGAGTATCAAGCTCTTCCAGTAATACTAAATCATCTCCGAATATCCAGTAAAGGACTCCTCTCTAATGTCATTGATAGTTTGCTTCAGATGACAGTGGAATCTAGTAAGTTTTAAAGTTTTTAGATACACAAAGTAATGACAGTAGATGATTTTATTTTCTGAATGTGTAACTACATGTCGGACATATTGTATTATATAATAGAAATGGTTAAAATGTATTTTTGACAGCAGTGTAATAGAGTCATTAATAACATCATTAAAAGTTGTATGTCTGAATGTCCATTAACGTAGCACAATTGCCAGTACTCACCTCATCTCAGTTATGTGCATATACTCTGCATTGGTAGTCATGTTTTCAAGCTTCTTTGTCTGTTCTTCCGTCTCATCATTCTGACAGATCTAATCCTGTATTCCCTGCTTGCTTAGAAGGAGATGTTCAAGTGTGTCTCCATCTAAAGGGAGAATATGACAAAGCCGTATTCCTGTTGTTTCCTCCTCAACCTTACCGTTTTGTTGGAGGGTTCAGGGGTGGGAGGAGCACTCAGGTGTATATGTGGCTACTTTTTTTCATGCATATTTGTAACATTTTGTAGTCTCTGGCCTTATTTTTTCTTTTTGGTTTTTATATTGGTGTAGCAAGTCCTTTTTTTTTTTTTAGCAAGTTCTTTTAAATTGCTATTGATGGTTCCTAATTTAGCCCAGATATGTATGGGGATGTTGCACATAAATATTTTCATTTGTTTTGGTTGGTATTGCTCTTTGAACTTCAAGTAACCCCTTGACTTGTAACAGGCAACCATTTTGCCTCAGTAAATTTTTTTCACTTGTGGCTTTTCCTCTTCCCTCTTCCCTCTTCCTTCTACAGCACTTCTAAAAATGAAATGTTTATGCCTTCCAGAAGATGGAAACTAAAATTGGAAAGTCATTTCTCAGTGTGGTAGTAAGCAATCTGTGGTACTTGGTGCTGCTTGTGGGTGAATCCCTAATAGCTGGGCGTAAAGCATAGTTATATTTCTAACCAGGTACCTTCAGTGTATGGCTTCACATTTTTAATTCATTTTATATGCTTTCTCGTTTTTCTTTTACAACATCCATGTGAAGGGCCTGAATAGAAAAACTGAGGCCTAGAAAAATCCAGTAATTTGTCCATGGCAAGACAGACGCTTAACCGACTGAGCCACCCTCTTTCTTTCTTTCTTTCTTTCAGGCGTCCCTCTTTCTTTTTAAAGATTTATCTATTTATTTGAGAGAGAGAGCTGGGGGGAGAGGCAGAGGGAGAGGGAGAAAGAGAATCTCAAGCAGACTCTCTGCTGAATACGGAGCCCCACATGGGCCTGACGCAAGGCTCAATCTCACAACCCCGAGAGTGGAAATCAAGAGTTGGACACTTAACTGACTGAACCACCCAGGATTTTTCTTAATGAGGAAAACAGAAATTTTACCAGATGCTAATGTCTATTCATTAGAAACAAATCTGTCTGAATATTTCTGACAGAGATGAAATCTTATAGCCAAAGGAAAACTAAATATAATTTTATGAAATAGTGGACCTACTTGGGTGAAATGACTTTGTAGCACCATAACATTCACATTTGGAGAAATAATAGTAGATAAAGTCAGCAGGTGTTCAGTTCCTTCAGACTTGTTTACCTTTGTTCAGATTATGCTCAAATCCAAGGTTATCCTTTCTTGTTCAAATTGAGTAAATAAAGCAATTTCTAATGTGGATTCCTAGAAAGCCATATCATTTTTAGTGATGGAAAACTTTTGGAAGATTAGAAATGGGTGAATCATTGATGATTTCTGACTGAAGCATATTTGCTTGATATATTTTTCTACTTTTAATATAAATCCAGTACCTGATGTTAACCAAAGAAATATGTTGAAGGGGTTAAATGAATGATAGATCAAAATGTAGCAAATACTTACCTAGCTGTTGGTTTTATGTTCTGTTTTTTCTAGATTTGAGATGAGAAACTCATTTCACCATGTACATAATTTCCACATGCCATTTTTTTTAAGTTAATAGGAAAAAGTTATTGGAAGAGAAATCTTGATAGAATGGATTTGCAGATGGCTTATCTCACACAACTAATGGGCCTTGGTGGTCAGCCATGCATGAGGTGACATGTTTCAAGCATTGTGTTTACAGTGCTTCCCTGAGCCTTGGGGCTTCCTCTGAATGTCCATTTAGGGCTTTGGAGCAAGAGGCTAGAGGAAGGTGTCAGTGGGCCAGACTCTAGCCTGGGAGTACTCAAAATGCTTGCTTATTGGTTCTCTAACACAAGTCTGTATAGAAACAGTGTTTAAAACTTGTATAGTAGTCATCAAATTACTAATTTTATCAAGTTCAATAATAATTAAAAACATTTGGACTTGTATTTTGTATGTTTGTTTTATTTCATTTCTAGTGTTGTTTTTTTTATTTTTATTTTTAAAGATTTTATTTATTTGACACACAGAGAAGGAGAGAGCAAGCACAAGCAGGGGGAGTGGCAGGCAGGGGAGAAGCAGGCTCCCTGCTGAGCAAGGAGCCCGATGTGGGGCTTGATCTCAGGACCTTGGGATCATGACCTGAGCCAAAGGCAGCCTCTTAACCAACTGAGCCACCCAGGGGCCCCATTTTCTAGTGTTTTTTAATGGTATTGTAAAATGATAAATTTTGAGAAGTTTATTCGAACAAACAGCGATTCCAGTGGGATAGCACCAAATCTGAAAATGGTTAGGGGTGGCTCTGTAGGTGGGTCCTAGGGCAGAGGTTTTTATAGAAAAGACAGGGAAGCAGAGCAAAGAAATTATTTAATTGGCTATAACATAAATGTTTGCCTTGTTGGGGAAAATTTAGTTATTTGGTGGTTATAATAGTTTTACTTGAGGTTCATTTTCTCCAATTCAAGGAAATCTGCTTGGCTATTGATGATTAGTTTTTCTTGAGTTTTGTTTTCTTAGATTCAAGTGCACTGACTGCTTTAGAATTTGATTTGTTTAGTTAGGGTACCCTGCTGAAGGCATGAGAGCTCCCCAGTCTAATAGCCTCTTTGTTAAACTATTTTAAACAGTATTTTGTTAAAGTCTGTTGCATTCTCTATGCTGGATTGGAAATCTCAGACCAGTTCTTACAGTAGTTTGAGGAGCAATAGGATACTCCATCTCCACTGGATACTTCATGTTAAGCTGTGTTGTAGTTCGTACTGCTACAGAGTGGTTTTTCTCTTGTCCCTCTTGTGCTCTTCCCTCAGATTCGTCTTTTCAGATATGAGAAATGTTACTAGCTGCATAGGTATTTACTGTTTTTTGAAAGCTGCTAAAATGCATTTCTTTTTTTTTAAATGATCTAGATATATTTTACTTTAAAATGCATTTCTTTGAGTGTAAATTAAGATCTATACATTGATTTACCTCAACATATATATTATGAGCACATTTTTTTTAGATTGAAGGCTTCTGATAATACCTCTTTTGGGTGTGAGTATATATCATATAATAACTTAGTAGTGTTGATTTTAGAAAATTATTTTGTGGTTTCTTTTTCTTTTTCCTGTCAGTGGTTAAAAGCTATTACTCACTTATCTGGGTTTAGCTGTGTAAGAACTTGAGTCTTATTTTATTTCAAAGAGTACTTTCCTTTTCTTGTCATACTTAGTTTAAATAGAGGGATTTAAGTTTGTATTTGTATTATTTAGTTCATTCTATTTTGCAGCCTAAAAACTGCCCGTCTAAGGTAACATGCTGCCATTTAACACTTGATGGCAATAATGTATTTGAGCACATTTTGCAGACACTTTTTATTTGTATTATAAAAATAATAGAAATTTGGAAAGCTACAAACTGTAAAAAAGTCTTACAATCCAAAGATAATGTACATTTACTTCATACGTACATTACTGTCTTTTTTCCATGAATAATTTTCATGATGTTGGGTGTTTCTTTTTTTTGTTTGTTTGTTTAACATGGTTAGGTTTTAGTGTACATGTAGTTGCATCAGTCTATGTTTATCTGTCTAAAATATCAAAATACAAGAAAATATTAGGATACTTTGCAAAGAAATATACCTGAGTTCTTTTTAAATTATGAATATGGGTAAAATGTATTATACATTATAATACAATTAAAGATAGCAAAGAATTACCAAATACTTTATGCTACATGCATTAAATTTGTTATATGGATCTAGAAGTTATTTGTGAACATATTTGTATTTCTTAGTTTGGTGCTCTTTTTCATTGGCAGTTAATTTTTCTTGATTTGAGCAACATTATTTCTTCCCTTCTTGCTATTTAATTTTTTCTGTCATTCTATTATGTTTTTATTTTTAAGGAGATCAAAGCAAGGGTAATTTCAATGAAATGACAAATGCTATATTTCCAAAAATGTACCAACTTAGTATGTACACACCCATGTTTCTTTTCTAGTCATGAATCCTACATATGTATAACCTGTTTTCTCAGTTAAAAGCTTTCAAATGAAAGAATGTTCTCTAAGGAAACACCATGGGAAGATTTAGTTTTAATAACTGAAGAATATATGATAATATTTTTTAAGTCTAAGAAGTTGACACCCCTCTTAATTCTACCACCTTAATAAGACATAGTTTGCATATTGGCTGATATATTTATTTTTTTACATAGTTGCAATCATAATATGCATACTTTGTTGTATAAGAAATGCATATTCATTATTGAAAAACTAGAAAATACAACTTTATTTCATTCAACAAATATCTATCTATAGACTATACATTTATCCCTGGCACTCAGTGAGACACTAGGGGTACAGCAGAGAGCAAGATGATTAGGTCCCCTGTCAACATGGAGCTTATGGTCTAATTGACTTTTGTCAAATTATTGTAATAGTGAGTATGATAATAACAATATCATAGAGTTATAAACGTGGTAAGGGAGTTAGCCATGCAGAGGTCTGGGAGACTATTGTAGGGAGCAGGAACCGCTAGAGCAAAGATGTTAGGGCAAGTATTAATTGTTAGGTGTGGTATTTTCAAGACACAGCAGGGAAGCCAGTGTAGCTGAGGCAGAGTGAGTGGGCAGAGTAGTAGAAGAATCAGAAGATGGGGCCTGCCACTCATTCAGAAGGGCCTTGTTGCCC